CTGATGCTCAACCTTGTACTAAATCAGCTTTTCACTTCTCTTCCAGTGACCAAGGCGAAAGTTGTAGTGGAGGGACTCTTCCGATCCGTGTGGAGAGTAACGATTCGGGAGCCTGATGCATCCGTTGGACATATCACATACCTTGTAAGTTGTTGCAAGAAAGATTTGGAATGCTATGTAATGATGAGTTGACATTTGGACTCGTGTCCGCAATCGCCCCTAACTGAGAGATTGGCTGACCTATTTCTTTTTATATTCTTAGGTGGGCAATATACCTCTCCTCAAACGCCTTCATATTCTCCATGACGAATGGGTGTCTAATATCATCAGGTGAGTTGACTTTCTTTTCTCGTTGCATGATGTTGCATAGTTCACATGATAAACATGATTCGACTTATATTCCCTGATTGTTAGTTGGTAACGAAATGCCTGTTTACCGTTTCAGGATTTTGAACGGAGATGCAAACGTGTTTACTACCTCGAACTACTCACCGTGTCAATGCTCGAGGTTCTATGTAAGTTTATTATGTGTTAATTTGTGTGTACGCTATGATGTTCCGTGTTTCACTTGACTTTGTGATCCCAACCCTTTTCTACTGATATCCTGAATGTAGTTTATTTTCTATTTCAGGTTGTGATTGCGATGGTGGCGAAACAGTCTTGTGCGGGCATGTGTGTGTGTGTGTGCGTGCGTGTGTGTTTATGGTAAGTGAACGAAATGATGAGACGACACCTCTTGAATGACTTGTGAATGATTCGTTATTCTTTTCTGAAGTATGTTAATGTTCATACGAGAGACTAATTGTGTGTTGTTGTGTTTCAGGTTTGAAGATTGGAGAAGTGGTGTTAGCTGTGAAATCTGCGAGAAGGAGGAGTTATGTGATTGGGTGAGTACTTGTTTGTCTTGTAGATGATGTCATCCAGTTCTGCTATTGATAATAATGAAACGAACTGTATTACCCTGATGCTCAACCTTGTACTAAATCAGCTTTTCACTTCTCTTCCAGTGACCAAGGCGAAAGTTGTAGTGGAGGGACTCTTCCGATCCGTGTGGAGAGTAACGATTCGGGAGCCTGATGCATCCGTTGGACATATCACATACCTTGTAAGTTGTTGCAAGAAAGATTTGGAATGCTATGTAATGATGAGTTGACATTTGGACTCGTGTCCGCAATCGCCCCTAACTGAGAGATTGGCTGACCTATTTCTTTTTATATTCTTAGGTGGGCAATATACCTCTCCTCAAACGCCTTCATATTCTCCATGACGAATGGGTGTCTAATATCATCAGGTGAGTTGACTTTCTTTTCTCGTTGCATGATGTTGCATAGTTCACATGATAAACATGATTCGACTTATATTCCCTGATTGTTAGTTGGTAACGAAATGCCTGTTTACCGTTTCAGGATTTTGAACGGAGATGCAAACGTGTTTACTACCTCGAACTACTCACCGTGTCAATGCTCGAGGTTCTATGTAAGTTTATTATGTGTTAATTTGTGTGTACGCTATGATGTTCTGTGTTTCACTTGACTTTGTGATCTCAACCTTTTTCTACTGATATCCTGAATGTAGTTTATTTTCTATTTCAGGTTGTGATTGCGATGGTGGCGAAACAGTCTTGTGCGGGCATGTGTGTGTGTGTGTGTGTGCGTGTGTGTTTATGGTAAGTGAACGAAATGATGAGACGACACCTCTTGAATGACTTGTGAATGATTCGTTATTCTTTTCTGAAGTATGTTAATGTTCATACGAGAGACTAATTGTGTGTTGTTGTGTTTCAGGTTTGAAGATTGGAGAAGTGGTGTTAGCTGTGAAATCTGCGAGAAGGAGGAGTTATGTGATTGGGTGAGTACTTGTTTGTCTTGTAGATGATGTCATCCAGTTCTGCTATTGATAATAATGAAACGAACTGTATTACCCTGATGCTCAACCTTGTACTAAATCAGCTTTTCACTTCTCTTCCAGTGACCAAGGCGAAAGTTGTAGTGGAGGGACTCTTCCGATCCGTGTGGAGAGTAACGATTCGGGAGCCTGATGCATCCGTTGGACATATCACATACCTTGTAAGTTGTTGCAAGAAAGATTTGGAATGCTATGTAATGATGAGTTGACATTTGGACTCGTGTCCGCAATCGCCCCTAACTGAGAGATTGGCTGACCTATTTCTTTTTATATTCTTAGGTGGGCAATATACCTCTCCTCAAACGCCTTCATATTCTCCATGACGAATGGGTGTCTAATATCATCAGGTGAGTTGACTTTCTTTTCTCGTTGCATGATGTTGCATAGTTCACATGATAAACATGATTCGACTTATATTCCCTGATTGTTAGTTGGTAACGAAATGCCTGTTTACCGTTTCAGGATTTTGAACGGAGATGCAAACGTGTTTACTACCTCGAACTACTCACCGTGTCAATGCTCGAGGTTCTATGTAAGTTTATTATGTGTTAATTTGTGTGTACGCTATGATGTTCCGTGTTTCACTTGACTTTGTGATCCCAACCCTTTTCTACTGATATCCTGAATGTAGTTTATTTTCTATTTCAGGTTGTGATTGCGATGGTGGCGAAACAGTCTTGTGCGGGCATGTGTGTGTGTGTGTGTGCGTGCGTGTGTGTTTATGGTAAGTGAACGAAATGATGAGACGACACCTCTTGAATGACTTGTGAATGATTCGTTATTCTTTTCTGAAGTATGTTAATGTTCATACGAGAGACTAATTGTGTGTTGTTGTGTTTCAGGTTTGAAGATTGGAGAAGTGGTGTTAGCTGTGAAATCTGCGAGAAGGAGGAGTTATGTGATTGGGTGAGTACTTGTTTGTCTTGTAGATGATGTCATCCAGTTCTGCTATTGATAATAATGAAACGAACTGTATTACCCTGATGCTCAACCTTGTACTAAATCAGCTTTTCACTTCTCTTCCAGTGACCAAGGCGAAAGTTGTAGTGGAGGGACTCTTCCGATCCGTGTGGAGAGTAACGATTCGGGAGCCTGATGCATCCGTTGGACATATCACATACCTTGTAAGTTGTTGCAAGAAAGATTTGGAATGCTATGTAATGATGAGTTGACATTTGGACTCGTGTCCGCAATCGCCCCTAACTGAGAGATTGGCTGACCTATTTCTTTTTATATTCTTAGGTGGGCAATATACCTCTCCTCAAACGCCTTCATATTCTCCATGACGAATGGGTGTCTAATATCATCAGGTGAGTTGACTTTCTTTTCTCGTTGCATGATGTTGCATAGTTCACATGATAAACATGATTCGACTTATATTCCCTGATTGTTAGTTGGTAACGAAATGCCTGTTTACCGTTTCAGGATTTTGAACGGAGATGCAAACGTGTTTACTACCTCGAACTACTCACCGTGTCAATGCTCGAGGTTCTATGTAAGTTTATTATGTGTTAATTTGTGTGTACGCTATGATGTTCTGTGTTTCACTTGACTTTGTGATCTCAACCTTTTTCTACTGATATCCTGAATGTAGTTTATTTTCTATTTCAGGTTGTGATTGCGATGGTGGCGAAACAGTCTTGTGCGGGCATGTGTGTGTGTGTGTGTGTGCGTGTGTGTTTATGGTAAGTGAACGAAATGATGAGACGACACCTCTTGAATGACTTGTGAATGATTCGTTATTCTTTTCTGAAGTATGTTAATGTTCATACGAGAGACTAATTGTGTGTTGTTGTGTTTCAGGTTTGAAGATTGGAGAAGTGGTGTTAGCTGTGAAATCTGCGAGAAGGAGGAGTTATGTGATTGGGTGAGTACTTGTTTGTCTTGTAGATGATGTCATCCAGTTCTGCTATTGATAATAATGAAACGAACTGTATTACCCTGATGCTCAACCTTGTACTAAATCAGCTTTTCACTTCTCTTCCAGTGACCAAGGCGAAAGTTGTAGTGGAGGGACTCTTCCGATCCGTGTGGAGAGTAACGATTCGGGAGCCTGATGCATCCGTTGGACATATCACATACCTTGTAAGTTGTTGCAAGAAAGATTTGGAATGCTATGTAATGATGAGTTGACATTTGGACTCGTGTCCGCAATCGCCCCTAACTGAGAGATTGGCTGACCTATTTCTTTTTATATTCTTAGGTGGGCAATATACCTCTCCTCAAACGCCTTCATATTCTCCATGACGAATGGGTGTCTAATATCATCAGGTGAGTTGACTTTCTTTTCTCGTTGCATGGTGTTGCATAGTTCACATGATAAACATGATTCGACTTATATTCCCTGATTGTTAGTTGGTAACGAAATGCCTGTTTACCGTTTCAGGATTTTGAACGGAGATGCAAACGTGTTTACTACCTCGAACTACTCACCGTGTCAATGCTCGAGGTTCTATGTAAGTTTATTATGTGTTAATTTGTGTGTACGCTATGATGTTCTGTGTTTCACTTGACTTTGTGATCTCAACCTTTTTCTACTGATATCCTGAATGTAGTCTATTATCTTTTTCAGGTTCCGGTGGCGATTAATATTTTCTCAATAAATATATGCTGAGATCTCCACGACCTTCATGTGCCAGGACAAAAAATTCTGGACTTCGTGACCTATGTCCTGGTGATGTCCCAGATCCTGCTTCGTGTAAGTTTCTGCTATATTTTGATAGCTGTTGAAGCTATGATGTTCCGTGTTTCACTTGACTTTGTGATCTCAACCCTTTTCTACTGATATCCTGAATGTAGTTTATCTTCTATTTCAGGTTGTGATTGCGATGGTGGCGAAACAGTCTTGTGCGGGTATGTGTGTGTGTGTGTGCGTGCGTGTGTGTTTATGGTAAGTGAACGAAATGATGAGACGACACCTCTTGAATGACTTGTGAATGATTCGTTATTCTTTTCTGAAGTATGTTAATGTTCATACGAGAGACTAATTGTGTGTTGTTGTGTTTCAGGTTTGAAGATTGGAGAAGTGGTGTTAGCTGTGAAATCTGCGAGAAGGAGGAGTTATGTGATTGGGTGAGTACTTGTTTGTCTTGTAGATGATGTCATCCAGTTCTGCTATTGATAATAATGAAACGAACTGTATTACCCTGATGCTCAACCTTGTACTAAATCAGCTTTTCACTTCTCTTCCAGTGACCAAGGCGAAAGTTGTAGTGGAGGGACTCTTCCGATCCGTGTGGAGAGTAACGATTCGGGAGCCTGATGCATCCGTTGGACATATCACATACCTTGTAAGTTGTTGCAAGAAAGATTTGGAATGCTATGTAATGATGAGTTGACATTTGGACTCGTGTCCGCAATCGCCCCTAACTGAGAGATTGGCTGACCTATTTCTTTTTATATTCTTAGGTGGGCAATATAGCTCTCCTCAAACGCCTTCATATTCTCCATGACGGATGGGTGTCTAATATCATCAGGTGAGTTGACTTTCTTTTCTCGTTGCATGATGTTGCATAGTTCACATGATAAACATGATTCGACTTATATTCCCTGATTGTTAGTTGGTAACGAAATGCCTGTTTACCGTTTCAGGATTTTGAACGGAGATGCAAACGTGTTTACTACCTCGAACTACTCACCGTGTCAATGCTCGAGGTTCTATGTAAGTTTATTATGTGTTAATTTGTGTGTACGCTATGATGTTCTGTGTTTCACTTGACTTTGTGATCTCAACCCTTATCTACTGATATCCTGAATGTAACTTGTTTTTGATTTCAGGTTTTGATGGAATTCTTTGCGAAACAATGGTGACGTTTGTGTGCTTATGAGAAGTGAGCGAAATGATGAGACACCTTCTGAATGACCGTGTGATTGTTCTAATTTACCTGAAGCATTGGATTGGTTTTACAATTGTCGTGTTATTTTGTTTCAGGCTTAAGGACGTATGATTTAGCTTTGTGGTAGCTGTGCTGTCAAAATAGTTTATCTTCCTTGTAATACACTGTTATGTGATGGAAATTCGTGTTTTGCTATATTACATAACTGTCAATAAAGTGACTGTTGTTTCTGTTCTGTTTTCATGTGGAGAGTTGTAAAATTATGCGTACGTGCTAGCGAAAGTGACTAGGGTTGTGAGGACATGTGGCTGAGTAAGTAGGATGTGAGAAGATGATGCGTATAATTCTAAGAGGAGTGAGTAATCGGTATTTCGTGAAGTATCTTGGGAATTATAGTTAGGTATATTGCGTTAATACGAGCGAATAGTGAGTCGAAAGGTGTGTGTGTGTGTGTGTGGTGCTCGGTTATAATGTGAGCGACGTGAGCATCGTGTTGTGTTGGGTATGAAACTAACTTGAAAATTCGGAGTGGAGGATTCGAAACCATGAGGTGGATAGAAGGCAATATCGAAGCAAGCAGTCATATGAGGGTATGTGCACCTGAGTTGTACTTCAGAAGAGCCAAACAAGATGAAAGATGGAATACAATCATGCTTTTAATTGTGGACATTTAATAATAGTTAGTCCGACGGAATGAATTGGATGAGTTAACTGAATGGTATAACCGGTGAAGTCATTAACTTAGTTCCAGACTAAAGGGCAGATCATTTACTTTGAGCTAGTTTGACCTAGTGAGCCAACCTTAGAGGATTGGGTAACTGAAGGAAGTCGATCGTTGAGGCAAAGTCTTGCCTGTAAATACCCTGATCGTTAGAAAAGGTTAAGTCGAGGTCAGTCATTCATCGCTGAGGTCTTTGACTATTGATTTGAGCCACGTAGTGGTGTATGAACTGAGTTGTGAGTTTTGTGGACGTTATAGACTGTTGGTGTAGGTGCGGTGTTGATAGTTAGTGTTCAGTAACTTGGAGATCCATCGCGTCCTCATGTTTCTTCATTGAATTGCTCCATCTCCTGAACATTTCTGCTCATTAACCCCTAGTGCTTCTCAAGACCATACAGTGCCCGATATCAAGAATTCTCAACACAAGCTTTGGAGTGCTACTCAATAGCTTGTAGGTTGTGTAAAGAATTTATCAGTTGTGGGTTGTGTAGCATTATTAGTGTGCATTGTTATTGATACTGTGTGAAAATGACTGATACAAGTACACTGAGGATTTGAATATCTGACCAAGTCAGCAGAAAACTTGTTGACAACTGGATCGTCCTTGGGGCCAGGTGAAAACGTTAGCAGAGAACCGAACGCAATGGAGACGCGTGGCTGATGTCCTATGTTCCTGTAGGAATTAAAGGCAATAATAATAAACAAACAGTGACTATTTTATATTCTCACTAAAGTTTCATGTAGGTTAGAGTTGTGTATAGCATAATTTGGTTTTTTATTTTTCCAATCTTTTTGTTGGTAACTTACTTGGTGACTGCCTTTGTGATAACACTTTCATCTTGGATGCGTTGCAAATTCGGGGAATGCACTGATGAGCACACATTGTAGTATGCTACTCAGAAAAGGTTACTAAGATGTTGGTAAACTTAACGAGGGGGAACATCTATTGGATGAAGTCTAATAGAATATATCACCTGGATGGATGAGATAGAGCAGTATACAAATATGCAACCATCTCGTTGAAGAGAGAGAGAGGACAAGACTTGATGGGAAGTTGAATATTGCCTGGTTCAAGCTAATGTGTGATGCTTCTCCGTTAAGTGATGTTTAGCGGCTTGTTTGGTGAGATATTAGACAAAGTGTCGGTAATAGGCCGCCAGCTTTATGCAAATGGTGACGCTTCCGATTGGGATTAGGAGATGACATTTCATGATGACGTAGGTCTTCCTTGTGTTCGAACTAATTTCTTGTCCTGGATGTCTGTGGGATTTCTATAAGTAGAAATGACATTTATGCGTTTTCAACTTGAAATTGAACAACAGCTCTTAAATTACTATGATGTTCTTTGACTGACTGTCAAAACACCAGTGTCATCAGAAAGGTGAGTCAATGTCTAGTGACTGTCTATATGCACAGCTGGCGTAGACGAGATGTTCGACTATCGACCAAAGGGCGGGTGTACTGCTCATCAGTCCCCTACGTCCTCCTTTATGGCCAGCTGTGAGACCTGACCACTGAGAGTGGAAGACATGAAAAGACTAGCTGTCTTTGATCATAGGTGCCTACGCTCTATTTCCCGTGTAAAGTGGCATAATAAGGTGAGCAACATTGAGGTTAGGCATCGGTCGAGTGCTAGGTAAACAGGGGAAATCAATCGACGAAGTCGTGAAGCTACAAAGACTGAGATGGTTAGGACATGTGTTACGTATGCCAAGCCATCGCCTCCCTCGACGAGCAATGTTAGCGGATATAGGGTCAGGCTAGAAAAAAGCTAGCGGCGGTCAAACAAAAACTTGGCATCAGTCAATGAAATCCACAACAGTTAGTCTAATCCACGTAGGAAGGTGTAGACTTCCAGGCTGGGGTCCTCGGGACGGTAAAAATCTATGGTTGGAAACAATTGGTGACATGGCTCAAAACCGTTCTCAGTGGCGCAGATGCATCCACTCCCTGTGACTTATGATCTTCAATGAAACTGTTTTGTATTTCTTTATTACTCCTTTGTCTCACACCTCTGCTCACTGTTTCTGTTATGCTTTTCTCTTGCTTCGCGTGCTACACGGAGTGTGGCGACTTGAACTTCCGCACATTTGTGCAAAGTTCTATGTCGAAAACAGACAGACAGACAGCTGGAAAGTAGCTGAATGGTCTGTAACACTGAATAACTTTCTTTCGAACTAATATGATACTGTAAGCAAGACGAAGTTAGTTATAGGTCCATCTTCCTTGTGTATCTCCACTTGTTGATATCCTGAGGCTAAATCTAGTGTGTCTAGCGGCACCTAGTGTTCACCCAGTGAGTTGGACGTAGTGTCTATCCGCGGTACATGTTGTTATACTTAAATGGTGATTTATTACATATTGTTGAATCCAGCTGTCCATCTTCTGAGGACAAACAATTGGAGGGGGGTGAGGAAGGTTGCGCCCAATAAGGCTGATGCATGTGTAACTTCTTTCTATAACATTTCATCGATCATAGTATCTATTAGATATGGTGGGATGTACATTTGCAAAGTCATCTTTTTTTTTAAACGAATAGAACAAGTAAAGTTGTACACAACATTTAAAATATTGTTAATTAATAAATTGGAAGTCAGAATGTTCAGAATGAATCTATGGATGTGCACTCCACTATGCATATAAAATATATGAATAACTAAGAATTGTTTTTGGCAGTCGAAGAAATTTATGCATTCCCCTGTAAGGGATATTACTTTGAGGACTTTTCAAGTATTGGTATGATTAGAAGGTGGCTCTATCAGCTTCTATGAAAGTTAGCTTTTAGCCTGGGATCAGTAAGCAACACAACCTCATCAACTGTAATGTAGCTGAAGTAACTAGCCTCCTGGAAAGGTATATACAGGAAGTGCTATAACCTGCGTGTATGCGCGTTTGCGATAGACTTGGCTATCATTGTTACGTATAGTTACATAACAGGACCCTGTGTTTCAGAAATTGTTTAGTGTATTGAGTAGTGAGGTTGTAAATCTTTTATAGGTGGGTGTTTCCAGTTAAGCAATTTAGCTTCTTTTTAGAGTTATTAAACTACCCAGAAAGACTAAGTTCCTTCGGTATATATTAAGAGCTAGTTGTACAATTTTGCAGGGTGTTCCAACTGGCTCTAACCTTTGATTGAATAACATATGGACATTAGGCTGGCAGTCTTAGCTGAGGTTACAAAAGTAGCAGAACCTGATGATAAGACTCCTGAGGTGTTTAAGAATACTGGTGATGATGAATCACTGACTAGACTAGCTAGGATAACTGACGTATCGGGTTTTCGAAGGTAGTTTATCATCTCAGTTTATGAGAAAGGGGGATCTTATTGACGAACGTAGTATATAGTTCTATGCAAATTGGTTAGGACTGAGAAAAGGCGAAACCCATGAGGAACAGGTGGATTTCAGTCCCAGAGGAAAGTGTGCTGATTATAGTTTCATTCTTTACTGGGTTCAGGAAAATAGGCACACTTACTGGAATCCAAAACTCGCCATATTTTCTGACGCATGTTATTATTGTTTCCATTAATTCCTTGAGGAACACAGGGCTTCAGCTGCACGTCTCAATTGCGTTCGGTTCTCTGCCAACGTTTTCACCTGGCTCCACGTCTACCCACATGCTTTCATCTCCTCTTCACATGACCTCCTCCAAGTCACCCTCGAACTGACGACCAGCTCGCCGCCCGTTTCCCTTTCGGATTCCACTCGAGCAATGGCTTGTCTAGTGATGTTACTTGATGGTTTCCTCAGAGTATGGCCAGTCAATCCACCTCCATTTCTTCCTGCCTATCTGTTTCACAATCGGTTCCTGCTGGGCTGGTTCGCTCATTCCCAGAGATCCCTGTTGGTGATTTTTTCTGGCCGGCCATCTGATCTTGAGTAGCATTGGGCGAAGACAGCTGTTAATGAAGGTCTGTAGTTTGTTTGATGTGCTCTTCATGACGCGCCAAATCTCTGATCCGTATAGTAGCACTGACTTGACATTAGAGTCGAAAATCTGGATGTTGTTTTTGATGCTGAGTAATGTTGACCTCGACACAGACTTGAGAGTAATGAAAGCTTGTCTTACTTCCCCGATCCTTGCTTTGATGTCCTCGTCAGTTCCGCCTGTAGTTGAAACGATGCTTCCCAGGTAGGTAGGTGCAGGAGGTTGTTTCTTTCAGGTTCCTCCCATTTATGCTGGCTGATTGTTGTCTGTTGTTGTTGTTGCTGTTAGTGTTGGCCAGGAATCTTCATCACCTCTGTTTTCTCTATGTTTATTTGGAGTTCTATCTTTGGTGCTTCTTTTGCCAGCTTGTTGCTTTTCACTTGCATATCTTCCAATTTGTGGGAAATCGGACATAAATATATCATCGGCGAAGTCTAGATCCTCCAAGTTTTTTGTGAGGGTCCATTTTATGCCTGTTTCTTCTGACTCTTGAGGTGGCACAAATCTCCGTCCGTCAAGGTGTGATGTAGCAGCAGTTTTTAGCAGTAATGGGAGAATGTGGTACCAATCAAAGGACTTTACTTTTGCTCAT